TTTGTTGGAGAATTTTTTTAGTGGTGTGACCAGTTGAGTTTTCTCAATTTTTGTTTGGGCCCAGTAGCGTGGAAAAGTTCAGCGTCTCTTCGAGATGAGTCATAGTTTGTTTCGCCTTTTTGCCTGCCATTGCTGATGTAGTACTTGAAATTTGAAGATTTTGAGATCAAAAGATGAGAGGACAAGAAGGTCCCACTGGGCGTGCCAAGAAATTTGTACAACGGAATCTCGTGTATTAAAATACAGAAATCGTTACAAATTGTATTTTGATAAATACAAGTGATGTTGACCTTCTTGTAATTGTAAAATTGCAAAATCCTCTGATTAATGATCTGAATATTTGAAGACGAGGGGCCACGTGGCTTAAATCCCGGTCTTCAATAATTTGTTGAAAATTTGATTTGTCGAAATTTGACTTGTTTGGAATTTGAATCTTAAGGCTTGGACTTGAATTTGATTTAATTTGAAAAAAACTTTGATCTTCTTGGACTTGGCGTGAACCTGTTTGATTCGAAGAAGATTTTAATCTTTTGGGGTTCACCGAACTAAGGTTTGACAGAATTTCTTCCCTTCTTTCAACTTTAAGATTTTTTCAATACTTCGTGGCGTTCTCTGTTTTCTTTCTTACTTGCTTTCTGTGTGTCCCGTCTTATGGACCATTGGTCTTATTTATAGGGGAGGATTCGGGCTAATTTTGGTAATTATTCAGTTATATTTAATTAAAAGAGATAATTGAGTAATTATAATTTTATTTATTTGTTTGTTTATTTATTTAAAATGTGGTATGGACTTTCGGGTTTTTATGAACTTTAGCAGACTTAAGATTTAATTGAACTAATGATTTAAATCGACCCAATCCATTTTATTTTATTTACTTATTATTTTTTTGTTATGTTTACAATGGGTTTTTGCAAAGCCGCCACAAGTTCACTTGCGAGCTAGCTCGACAGCTCACGAGCTGGCCGTGCTAGTTAGTGAGTAGCTCCCATGACTCGCATGGGATTTTTGGGCTTGGCTTTGTCCGTATTCACCTACGAGGCGAGCCAAGCTGTCCATGGGTATGAGCAACTCATGCTTACTGCCATCTCTAAGGTAGTGTTTGATAGTCATTGAAATTCCATCTTACCCTTGTTTGATACCCCTTTTTTTTTTTTTAAACCTAAAATTAAATTTCCATCTTTGATGCCACGTAAGCCATTTTCCATGAATTCAAGGAATTAATTCTCGGTTACTATAGCATTTTTCCTATTTTTTATTTTTTAGTAATGGAAACAAATTCTAAAAATTATTGTAAAAAAATATTTTCCTTTAATTGATAATTTTCATGTAAAATAAGACCAAACAAACACTAAAAAATAGATGATTTTTTTGATTTTTTTTAGGCAATGAGAACAAATTTCATCTCCAATATCAATAAATTCTATCATTTTAATTGAAAATTCTCATGTAAAACAAAATCAAACGAACACTAAAAAACACTTTTAGTTCAACATTTTCCACGTGAAAAATTATACCAATCAAATACAATAATTTACAATTCTCAAGAAAACAATTTCTAAGTAATTCAATTCTCTGAAATTCATTTTCTAGGCAATTCAATTCCATCGTTGCAATCAAACAGACCCTAATTGTAACATACCTCACGTTTCAATTAATTTGTGTAGGGTTAAAATGTCAAAATCCAAGCAACAACACAAAAATAGCAATTTAAGGCATAAGGGAACCATATTAAAGAGCTAGATGCCATTAAAACGGGTATAAAACACATGAAACCGAATATAAATAAAGTAGTACTACGTTATAGTGATAAAATACGAAGTCGTAGGGTGTCACATATAAAAATCAGTAACAAAAATCTTGCATCAAAAAGAGTAACACCATTGAATTGTGCAAGAACGAAAGTAGAGCTTAAAAGTTCCAATTTCAGATGCCAAACATAGATTTACAACTATAGGGGAGAGAACTTCTCATCCTACTTCACTATAACCAAGCCTACTGTGCACAGATTCTAATTCTACTCAAATCAGTTCACAATAATACATTCAAGTCTTGCGAAATTTGTAATTGGATCAAACGTGTTAACAATATGGAAATATTTCCCATATTCTTCATAATATTGAGATTTTTTCAGATTTCTTATCTTATTACCAAAGCATCGTCAATTACAGCACCAGAAACCGATCCAACCATTGGAGAAACTTACTAAAAAAATGACTAATCAATTTCCAAGTTTTAAGTTAACCTCCCTCCCTTGGCGGCACTGCATAAAGGAAGCTTGCTTCCACTTTGCATTTTCTTCACATCCTGGCAAGAACAAATGAAAATCATTCGTGCCATGCCACAGAATTCCCTACAAGAAAATAGCATTATATTAAATATGTATATCTTTGATATGCGGACTTTAGTTACTTTTGTTTGTTGTAAATACTCTCTAATCCACCGTCGTAAACATGCACAAGGTTCCTTGACAACTACAGTTTGAATAATATCATTTTGACATGGTTGAGAAAGACAGAATACTTACGGCCATGGGTCGTCTCCCATGAGCATCACATCACCTTCGTCATCTGTAAAAATAATTTCCCATTTTTTTCTGGGCCACAGCTCCCCCTTGATTCCAAACATCTCTTCCAGTTCACTTATGAGCTCGCCATATCCCTTCAATGCAGTCAAGTCCACCGCATAACCTAATGTGACCCCTTGCATATGAACCTTCTCAAAGGAATACAATACCGAACACATAAACCATGGATCGTGTATTTTTTTGAGGCAATTAGTGCTCAATCACTAAGACATTATTGTTAAGAAAGGTTATTTAGAGCATGTTTGGCTAAACTTAGAACATTTACTTACAAGTAAAAAATTAAAATTTTAAAATATTTTATTATTATTCAATGTTGGAAATGAGAAAACTTATATTGACAGTTAATGAATAATTACTTTCACAATAAGTAACTTTTTGTAAATGTTTGCTTGGTAGTGCTTATAAGCATTGATCTGGAATGTGTGGATAATAAGTGAACAGTAAAATGTGGGTCCTAATAAGTGTGCAGGTAAAAAGTATGTTTTACCCTTTTAAACACAGCCAAACATTCTCATCAATCTTCTGATCCACACATACCTTGGTGCAACTTCTGGAGATGTGATTTTCTCTTCTTTGAACCTCTTTTGTTAGAACTTGCAACTTCTCTTGCATTGACTCTTTGGAATCCTTTGAAGGACAAGATTTCTGTTCTGAATCACCCGAAGACAGTTTACTTGAAACATATCCCTCACAAGCATCACTTGATATATCTACTGGTTTTATAGTCGAATTCTCATCAAGGAAGCCTACTGAAGGACTGATCAGATCGACACCAAACAATCGGCATGTTGCAACATTATGTGATTCCCTCCTGTCATTCAGGAAAGGCATGGGGCCATTACTTTGTTTTCCTGAATGTGTAGCTAAATGGTCGGAAAAAAGGGACCAAGCTGAGGCACTTTTACTTTTTTCTGTATCTTCAGCAAACACATTTACAGAAGTGTTTAAATTATGGTTGCCACAGTTTTTTTTATGGACATTCCTCTGTTCTTCGAGAGCATAATTTACTTCATGTGAATCATGGGACGGATTCCAGGCAGCTGGTGCTGTTGAAGTTGGAGTTTCTACACATAGTACAATTACAAGTAAAAGGTCATAATGTAGACAAACATACAAGGAAGCGGGGAAAAAGAGTTGAGAGCATGATAGGTGGACATGACTATATGATGGACAAGATTTATAGCTTCTTCTTCTTCCTTTATACTATCCACAACAATCCGCCTTACCAAATTAGTCATAAAAGGTTAATCTAACCTGGAACTGGGTTTTCCACATGTGATCGAAACCTTTTATGCTTTGTTGCCACCGATTGAACCAGGCTCGTGGGCACTGATACAACAACTGGTTCTATCTCCCATGGAGAAACCCTTTCAGGTCTTCGAATGGATGCAGTTTCATCCCATTGAACCTGGGAATATAAGAAAACCCGATTTAAATTTCAGTTTTCTCATAAATAAAAATTTGAAAGTGAAAAGATCAGCAAAATAAAACTTACCTTTAATGATCGCCATACAGAATCTTTCCAATGAGGAGAGAAATTTTCAACCCCAATGATGGTTCCTGAAAACCTGAGTGTCAAGGTCAAGGAGAAAGAAGAGGAATATTTTAGAAACTCTCAGTATATACTTCATTATCAGCTTTGTGTATGTTTAACAACCTTCTCTCAGAAGAATCCTCCCCCTCAAATCGCATCTTGAATCTTGAGCCAACCTCAAAACCATGATTTACAGCATCTAGATATTTTTTCAGGCCTATGATGAATTGACTTGTTCTAAGAAGTTTTTCCATGGAAGACACGTATAAGAACATGCACGTCGAAAAAAAATTCTTATCAAGTATTATAGTAAAAAGAGCACATCTATACTACCTTGGCTTGTAATAAACAACAAAAATGGTCCTGGTAGCAATGGCATGAGAGGCAGTTGCAAGCACTCCTAGTTGCATGCTTTGACTTGAAATCAATGACGATGGCATGGAGCTCTGATAATGAGTGTGGCGTCTGACCCCAACATGTAATTCTCCCTTCTCTCCCCTAGAATCAAAGTTTACAAAGTAAAAAAGTCAGAAAAGGGAAAATAAGATTTTTTTTTTTTTTCCCAAAAACATTAGTGGTCCTGACTAACCAGTTACCCCAGGAGAGTATCAACAAGAAACAAATACCTCAAAAATACAAAAGAATCCCCAGCAGTTAATCGCTTAGAATTAACAAATGTACTCCATCCTGTTGTCAGCAAATGCCTTCGAGGTTGACCTGTTCAATAATTGTCATCATGTAATTCTCCCTTCTCTCCCCTAGAATCAAAGTTTACAAAGTAAAAAAGTCAGAAAAGGGAAAATAAGATTTTTTTTTTTTCCCCAAAAACATTAGTGGTCCTGACTAATCAGTTACCCCAGGAGAGTATCAACAAGAAACAAATACCTCAAAAATACAAAAGAATCCCCAGCAGTTAATCGCTTAGAATTAACAAATGTACTCCATCCTGTTGTCAGCAAATGCCTTCGAGGTTGACCTGTTCAATAATTGTCAGTCATATACGGATTTCTAACCAAAGGAGCGTTAGAAAGGTGGGAATGAAATATTACCTCTAAATATATGCTTAAAGTGCCATTCAATCCCATGCAGATCCTTGGCTACCAATTCCTGGGTTGGCATCTGCTGGCTCATATCCTGATCAAAGATCAATTTTAGTCCAAACAAACCACAATCATTTCATATATAAATAGAACCATTAATGGGCGGGAAGGCACATAGACTGCATTTGAAAATGAAAGTGGCCCAGAAAAATGAAAACAAGGAAATATTACCAAGGAAGGAAGGCATTCGTTTGCATGTTTACGAAGAACAGAAAATCCACCATGGGTGCTTGTATCAGATGCTGTCAAAACCTTGCAGAATGAGTGAACTGTAGGCCCAGGAGTCTCAGGATAACACTCATCGGGACTTCTTGGCTCAGTTTGCTACAATTGTTTAATTCAAAATCTAAAATAACTATTGGGGAAAAAAAATACACGAGATAGCAAAAGCAGTAATTTTATAAAATAGAAAGAAGCAAGACTTAGATTACTTACATCTGTTTCTGGCATCAAAGTAATTTGTGCATAGACTTCATCGGTGTCTTTTTCAGCCTACAGAGCAGAATAATTCATCAAAGACAAAATAATCTCTAACTTATTTCACTACCGAACCATGTTTAGTTGCTAATTTAGGAAATATTAACGATAAGATATGCTTCTCGATGGTAGAATAATTTTACAAGCAAAGATGATTTAACCGTTAGCTGCAAAAACAAAGATAAAACTTAAAAGCCGTATCCCCAAATTTTAAGAACCTTATCAGAGCAATGTTATGAATTAAGGCCAATCTCAATTACAGGAGGTAGTAACAAGCAAAACAATATATCAAAAACCCACATACACAGATTCATCGTGAGAACTTTGTTCTCTAACTATATTGAACGAGATATGTACAAACGATATCACGCCTCTTGCCCTAAAAAGACCGGCCTGGCTCTAAAATCCCATATATGTTAGGAATGTTAGAGTAACCTAATAGATGTACGCACTACCAAATATATACGATTAAACTCGACAGAGTTTAACAAGCAATTAAACGCATACATATTGCACAAAGCAAAATAAAACTAGGAAAAAAGGTAAAGAAGGACCATACCAGTAGCTCGATGTTAAAAACACTACAAAGGATCTTTGAGGGCAGATTAAACGTTGTTATCTTCTGATTCAATTCCTCATTTGTTGATGCCTCCAACTAACCAAAAAAAGGAAAACAAGAAAAAAGAAATTACTCGAGAAATCCCATAAAAAAGCTTAAATTTGTAAACCAAGATCTGAACTTTAAGAAAGCACAATATTTTCGATTCATTAAAAAGATAATTACTTGTTCCATGCGACCCTGCGGGAAATAGTAAACTCTCTCTTTAATTTTTGGAACATCCACCAATGGACCAGCACAAGCCTTCCATAGCTCTGTATACAGAACATACTCGGAACCACAACCTGAACATTCACAAGAAAATCATAGGGAAAATGAAATTTATTTCCAAAAAAGATAAATTAAGAGAGATGTCTTTTAGATTTCACCTTCTGCGAATGAACCCATATGCTGCTGCTGTTGTGAAAATGACCTTCTAGTTGCCATTGTTAAAGCAAACCTTTTTTCTTTTTAGATAATAAAAACCCACAATGAAATTGAAACCCCAATACATAAACTATGTAATTGTAATTGTAACTTCAATCCACTTCGTTGCAGACTTTAAAAGTCCAATAAACACACACTTCTCTCTCTACAAAATACGAAAAATCAGTGGGGAAGTGAAAGAATGGTGATGCAAAATCCCAACTTC